TGAGCCTATATGTACCCGAACATTACCGAGGACTTGACGCATTAGGAAGATTTTGAATTGTGTCATAGTTGCATTGTTGCTTTGTATGATTGTGTTGTATGATTTGTGGCATAAGATATCGTTCAAGATGAGCTCTGCAGAAAAACGCAAGTATAACAATAATTAAATTAAATATGGGATTTTTTGTATGCTTAAGGATGATGTCGAACTTTTTTACTGTGTTATTTTCTAAAAAATATTGAGCAATGATGTCATGAGATCTAGTTGTATTGAACGACATTTGTCAATGTCTCCTATATTATTTCAGTAGTATTTTTTGCTGCTCTCACACGCGACCAATCTTTATGAATGAGGTCTCGAAATAAATATAATTTAACGAAGACGTGACAAATTGCACTTTGACTTTAAAAATGTGAAGGATTTGTTTAAAAAACGCATCTAAATATTCATGCCAATTACCTATATGCCCTCAGCCAGCAATATCGTTAAATAACTCCTGAACGAAGCGTTCTAGAGTCTTAAAAACTACAAATTTGAGACCAAAGACTTGAAAGAAACGTTTCTCACACCGTAACCTATAGGATGAGATTTTTTCGAACGTTCTATTAATTTTTTGTTGTTTCGGTACCTATCAATACTACTAATGCCACTTAGATCTCAACCCATGGTGATGGAAGCCATCTTTGTGACGTCATGCTTAGAAGGCTTAGATTCCACGATCTTATACTATTTACGCTTTCTGTGTAGACATTTTAAATTACCTAAAGTAAAATATCTTGAAATAAATGAACAACAAAAATCAAAACGCGTTAGCCTACAGTACTACGTGAATAAATTTAAAAAAACAACCAAATTTAAAATTATTGAAAGAATAGTGTGTCACTCGACAACAGCTAACGATCACTTCAAAATCGGCGCTAAGCGGTCTGTTCAAAGCAATGTGTTGCACGTCATAGAGAAGGAACAGGTCGTTTCAACGAAGATAAAGCGACAAGGCACAAGCATTTAGATAGATTAGATAATTACAATTAGATTATGCGGGGTATGATGGAGTCTTTGTTTAGAAGGAATATTTGTTTTCTATAGTACTTGGACATAATTTGGTTTAGGACGAATGTCAACATGCAGTTGTTTCCATGTTGCTAAGAGTCCGCCAATCTCATTCATAGTTCTAATAAAAATTATAATTTATACTTCATGTTTTACTATGTTACTAACTGAATCTTTCCTTACTTTTTAAATAAGAGTTTTAAATAGCTTCGAACTGAAACTCAACCTCAAACAGCTAGAACTATACATTAATGCATCAATAATATTTTTGATTACATGGGGGGGGGGGCTTTAGAGGATCCTTCAGTTACTCAAAATTTCCAGTCCCATTCCCACTGGAGATACTATAAAGCCCGCTGCTAGTATAAGGTTTAAGAAAATATTTTCAGTTATTTCAAACTGATTTTATGGTGCTCAATACAGAGATTTCTTGTCTTCTTAGTAAGCATCTTAATTCTTTTGTTAACGTTTATCATTAAAACTATTATCTTTATTTATTTTAATCTGTGAAATTAATTTTCGATTTTGTAATCTGTGTTTGTATTTACTGTGTGGTTCAGTGAAGCTATTTTCGATGTTCTGTATCGGAATCACGCAAGATATTAGAGACTAGAGAACAGCGTGAACCTCAATAATGGTTGCTTTAAAGTCGGCCCACTTCAGCCTCGGTGTGGTGACTAAAATAAAGTACGAATGTGGGGCATCTTGTGTGTTCGCGAGAAGTATTTTGGCATAAATAATGCGTTACAAAGATTCAAGGTTTCTTTAATGTAAAACGTGAAGTTTCGAGGAGTCGAAGCTTTCGGATTTTGAAAAACTTTCTTTAAAATTTGAGGGTGCTTTATGTGAAGACCCCGGACATTTTCAAAATTTTCTCAAAATCGGCTCCAAATTGTTTCTTTAAATTTCTTGTAAGAATGGTACACTAATAAAAGTGGCACAGGTATGATTAACTCTTGAGTTTTCGAAAATTTCAAATGTATGATTTTTTTGTCTCTTACAACTACAAAATTGAAGATAAATATTTTTCCTTCAAATACAATTTGTTCTTCACAGTAAGTTCTTTCACTAAAGTCATGTACACTTTTTTAAACTTGTAGTATTTTTCGTCCAATGTTGCGAGCAATTTGTGCAATTTTAATAAAATTACAAATACAAGATTTTCTTAAAAACTGCTCCACATTTTTTATATAAACTCTTGGTAGAGTTAGTGCTAAATGTAGTCTATAAGATGACATAGACGGCATATTGCTCTATTCTTTTATTTTTTCAAAAAATACAAAAATGTAATGTTTAACTGTCTCTCACGTAGTTAATATTTCAATGAGCAACAATTTGTTCACATTATTATATTTATGAGTACATGAGTACATGAGTACATGTCGTATAAAGCTTCTCGAAAATTCAAAAATTTTCTGTGAATAAGTTTTAATAAATAAGCAATGCTTTAAATATCGAATTTACTGTAGCGTTAAAGCGCCATTTCCTTAAAAACGTCTCCAAATTGTTCAAAGAAACTTGCCATTTAGGACGAGGTTTTACTGTTCTTTAATATTCTTAAAATAATATTTCCGTTCTACTATTAGGAAATCGACAAATTCAGAAAATTTCAAAACAATTTACTTTGGGCAGCAATAGATGGCAGCTGGCAAGTCCGAATAGCTTGCCGAGACCAAAGGAAATAGAAAACTGGTACGGGAAAGACTGAGACATTCTGCTGCACCACTAGTTTTTTCTCACATTTAATTTAAACATAATTGGAAACATTGTATGATTTGTTTTAATTGCCAAACATTACATAAATGTTGTAAGTAGTGGTGTTACAATAGCATATACTTTCTTTAATTATGTCTCAAAAATTAAAATTTCCAGTTTTCAGAAGTTCAAAGAGTTCAATGAAAAGGAGACTTGCTACATTCTTTTAAGCGTCCCTTGTTCTTTACGTAGTAAAAAGTAGATGAAAAAAATAATAGCGGTGTTTGAGATTTTAAAAAATAATTAGCATTAATTTTAGAAGGAAATTCCGCAAAAACCACACGTTTTATTAAAATAAATATACATGTCTTTTTTTAAAGGTTTGATTTCGTATAACATTTTTCATTTAATACAAAAATATCTGGTTTCAATATTGTACTTTTGCAAAGTTAACGTTTGCAATTTTCGAAAATACAAAAACATCGCGGAAAACGGGACCGGCACCAATTTTTATCCCTTTTGATGCAAACGAGGATAAAATTTTAAGAAAAACTTTGGAGCAGTTTTTGAGTAACACATTGTGTAAAAATCGGAAGTAAAAAATAACTCGACTGCGACCAGTGATTTTGCATATATTTCATAGTATGAAATACCCGCACTGTGGTGTAACGGTAAAACAGAACATTGAATTATCGATAGTTATTATAAATTAGTTAAATTAGTTATAATAGTTATTATCTGTACTCTGGAGGATAAAACCGAAAATGCACAATTCTTTAAATTTTTTTATTAAGGATAATTGCATTTTGATTAATAAATACCAGAACATTTAGGCATTTAAAAACAAAATAGTCATTTATTAGTGAAATAGGCTTTTATAGGCACTATCAAATTCGCATGTAATCCTCCTAATGCCTGAAAATTAATAAGCAGAACATTTAGGCATTTAAAAACAAAATAGTCATTTATTAGTGAAATAGACTTTTATAGGCACTATCAAATTCGCATGTAATCCTCCTAATGCCTGAAAATTAATAAGCGACCTAAAATTTTGGGTTTTCCATTGAAGAAAAAAATCGGCAAAAAGGCAATAATCCAAAGCTTAATAATAATTAAGATGCTCAAAGATGTTTTTAAGTAAAATTTGAATTTTTTATACACGCATGTATACACACGAGTTAAAACGTAAATAAAATATGGGTTATTTTAAATAACATATTTAGGTGTACTACAAACATAAGACAAATGATGTTTACCAGTACAAAACAGTAATGATAGTAGACGAACGATTTTTAAAAAAAAACATTTGATTAAGAATATTAAAATATAACTTTGCGCGCTTTTTGTTTCGCGAATACTTTGACTAATTCAGTTAGATCAAGTATTGATAATTGAGAGTGTTTCATAGATATAATTGCTAGACCAACGAATCTCTCCTCCAACATATGGAGCATAAAAATGTTTATATACGTTTTAGTACCGAAAAGCGAATGAAAAAAGAATAAGTATATTTTTTTTATTTTTAAAAATTACGATCTAGAAATTGCGATCTAGGAAGCAGGAAGTCTGAACCAAACGCTAACGGTGAACAATATTATTCGAATATTTGATATTTAAAAATGTAGTAAAGAATAGTTAATACTTGTTGAAAGTGAAGTTAACACATAATTAATCTTCATGGACTAAATTGATCTTGAACTTGAATTGAGGAGCACATATTGTCTACTGGTGAAAAAATTAAGTTTGGTATGAAATCACGTAGTTTTTAATGTGCTCTACACGCACCTGCTTTAGGATTTCTTCACGACGCATTTAATTTAATGGGTTAAAACGCGTTTTGAAGAAATCTGACAGGGCGTATTAAAAACTATACGATTTCATATCAAACAATCTTTTTTATCCACCAGTGGACAATATGCGTTTTGGATGTCGTAGGCTTCCGCGGCCAGAGTCATGATCTGGGCTGTCCGGGTGACGCCGCGTCGATGGCTGAGGTGCCGACGTTTCGACCGACATAGCGCGGTCCGCACTACATCGCAGTACAGCCCTGAAGAAGACCGCGATATGTCGGTCGAAACGTCGGCACCTCAGCCATCGACGCGGCGTCACCCGGACAGACCAGATCAACATGCGTTTTGTTTAGTTGCTCGTCAATAGTATTATTTAATACTTGCAATAGCGAAGCATTGCCGGTTCTGCTGGTTACAACTACAGAGTAACAAGTGTAACGGAGTCTCCGATGCGTGTCCACAGAGTGTGCGGCGGCGGTGGCGGCGTCGACGTCGGCCCAAGCAGCCCGTTCAGAAGAGAGGGAGGCAACGTGGCCGACGGCGTCAGCGGCCCTGGTCGCAGATGACCACCTTCGCCTTGATCAGGCAGTGGTAACTGGTTCTTCGAGTGCGTACTGATGGAGCGGAATAAGGACATAATGCAAAAATGTCGCCATCTGCAAGAGATTCAAGGAGAACGCACATGTGATAGTTGTATTGTGTTGCGTTTAGAGATGGTATGCACAAGAGAACCAGTAATAAACCACTACCAGTGAAGATGAAGGAAAATATAATATAAAGGAGATGAGAAAGTCAGCTATTGCCTATTCAAAGGCCGTAATGATAGAATATAAGTGAGAATCATCAATATTTTACAACTTGGATTTTTATTATATACTTACTCGGAAAGTTTACGAATTGGATATTATGCAAATGTATCGTAAAGTAAAACTACAAAACACAATAATGAAAAAATAAATGTTTCACAAAAAGGGTAATACATGTAAAGAAATGTTAATAGATTAAAATATTTTCGTAACTAATTCTCCAAACTAGATTCCTAAGAAATAACTATATGTAGATAATTATAACATATTATTTATATTACAATTACAGCGCATATTTAGGACAAATCAAGAGTGGAAAGTCAAGAAACCACCATCGCTTTCTTCAAAACGTGGTCATGTTAAGTCATTTTAGTTAATGGAATTTACTTGCTGAGAAAAACAGCTATTAACTTATTAAAATGCAATTGGTTATTTCATAATCCTCGGAACAAATAAATAATTTCATAAAATGTTGCCGTGAACAAAATGTTCATGGTACGAATATAAAATTACACATGTATGAACTTAGTCTACAAAAATTTTTCTAATTCCAAGAAATTACCATTTTATTTTATCTTATTAGGAGAACATAAACCAGAAAATGTTACTGTTGACAAAATACGAAATACATGAGTACAACTTCACAAATAAACCATTTAATGTACCATCTAAGATGAAATACCGGTACTATGTAAAATACAGTATTAAAATAAGCAGCAAACAAGAAACATCAATACGTGCTCCGAAAAGAATGCAAAGCAAATATTTACTATGACTGAATATATTTTTTCTCTTTTAATGCAATTGATAATTATTGTGATGCTGAATGACTAGGATTTTACGTAAAGATGAATATATAACAATGAAGAAAGCTGCAAATGTTGCCAAGAAAAAGCATTTCTGACACACTATGTGAATTCAGAACTATCACTACTCGTTAATATATGTCCAATCGTAGACTAATACAATCGTATCAATTAATACGTTTCACTGGGATATTCATTTTACATAGAAAAATTAAATTCTTCTCTAAACGCCTGTAAAGCGAAAATGACAAATTGATAAACAGCCAATATATTGATTATTCTGATTAGTCCTGGTTGTCTGTAAAGCAGTAATGTGAAAAGTTTTCAGACTATTATTTATGACATGATATACATTCACCATTATTTTATGACGTCAATGAAACTGTTAAAAATGTAAACATCATTCTACCAAGAGATGGTTAAACGATTGAAATTGATAACCTACGTGGACTAATAACGAAATAAGTAGAATTTTTATCACTACATTGTACTTGTAAGATCAAGATTGAAATCTACATTTGTTAGAAGTCGATAGTTCATTGTACATTGAACTACTCTATGAAGCAAAGACGTTGAATGCAAACAGCGAACCTGATATATTACTTTATGGCGTTATTAAATGGGGTATTATTTGTTTAATAACACTTTTAACGGTCAAGAAAAATAGAGGTTTATGTGTTTTAAAAGTTAATTAGACGACAAAAGAGGTTCATAAGTATAAGTCTAGATTTTTGTAGCATCAACTACTATTAAGAAAATCAAATTATATGTTTGTTAGAAGTTAGAAGATTATAGTTCTAAGTTTTTTAATCTACTTGAAAAAGGAAAATATGAAAAAAATAGTACAGATCATAGAGATCATTATGCTGTATTATTATGAAATAATTACATTTTTCAATAACCACCGACTACTGTCGAAAATTAGTATACGTTTGTCAGAAGGTAATGAGATGTTAAAAGAAGTTAATAATTTGATGCTTTTTCGAACTACTTGGAACAAAGAAGGCGGCGAAAGGTCACATGCGGAAGTCATAAATCACTGTTGAGTTACTTTGATAACTTTCGCCAGTTATCGTTCGAAGCGGGCAAAATAGGAGGGTTCTGGTGCGGAGGGGTAACGCGCTGTGGGCATTTGAAGATGAGGCAGAGTGAAGTTCAAAAGAGTATTCACATCTCTCCACTTTTCTGAAACTAAGCGCCACGACTTAATACACATTGAAACTTTACAATAAAAAACTTTTCAAACAGTGAGGACTTAAAATTCCTACATATATTCCTTATACCTCGCAACCCACTGCAGATTCAACTTCCTGAATATCGTCCATCATAAGATAATTGAATAACATCGAAACGAATGATCTTGCTGATTATTGTTCGCCGAATAATGTAACAAAATAAAATCGAATGGAATGATCTTGCTGAATATAGTCCGTCGAATGAGTTAATGGAATAAAAT